ACCCCGGGGGAGCACTCTACTAGCAGCCCTGCGATTCCAAGCAGATTGAGGCACCGCCACAACCGAAGAACCACCGTGCTCACAAATGGGCACAATGGCACAAGAAGTAGTGTCACCCTCACCCGGGCAGCGAAGCTCCAAGAGAGGTAGGGATTCAACTGTGCGAACCTCCTCGGCCCACACGCAAAAGTCACGCAGAGAATCAAAGGCCTCTCCGTCCTCAGCTTCAGAAGGCTCAGCGCTCATACTCGGCCAGCCAAGGGAAACCCGCGGCTGCCAGAATCTCAACTGCTTCCCACTTCGAAGGGGTGCCGATCAGCACAGACTGACCCAAATCCCGACCCCTCTTGCAAATCCCTGCGGCGTCCGCAAAAGAGTAAACAACCCGAGGTGGTTGCAGGGGCTGCCCAGCGTAATCAGCGAAGATCAGGTACAAGCGTCTTTTGAGGTTCAAGCGTGAACGGCCTGAATCCCCCAGTTGTTGCCCACGGAGTGAGCACAGAACAAAAGCCCCAAGGCTCCGAGCCAATTCCAGGCGGCCAGCCCGATCGTCTGGATCGATAGGAAGCCCAGACGAAAATGCAGCAGCCTCGGCAGGCGAGGGCCGAGCAGGAGAAGTCACAGCCGGTGCGGCCGAGGGAGCGGTAGCAGCCTGAGAGGCAGCAGGGTGAGTAAGGGCTCCGAGAGGTTGCCCTGAAGAAGTAATTCCAGAGACCCTGTCCCAAGACGAGGACCTAGAAGCACCCGAGCTCTCCAAACGAGCCACACGAGCCTCAAGGCGGCTGACCTGATCCACAAGATGGGTGAGCAGAACCTGTAAGGCGTCCACAGTACGTGCAAGCTGATCCACACTACCCATCCAAAGCTCTAAACCAACCCACCGGCCTAACCGAGATTCCCCTTTGCTGCAACGCAAGCCGCAAAGCCCAAGCAAAGCAAATCCAGCAGAGGAAAGAGAAGAAGGCCGCAACACAGGCCGATGCAGAAAGAAGACGGGTCGACACTGAAGGCCTTATCTGGCTCGGGACCGTCCAGTTCAGGGGGAACCAAAGGGCAGACCTGAGGCGAGGAAGGACCGCAGCCCCTAAGCCCCCACTAGCAAGCCCTAACCCCGCAGGCTGGATGCTCATAAGCCGAAAAACTTGAGCCAAAGCACAGTTAAACATGTGGTGACATGCCAACAACGCAGTCACGCAGCTTCAACTGATGCAACAACATTGAACGCACGCCACGATGCATGCCCTGCTTGCACGTCACACAAGACAAAGCACTTCTTTTTTCAAACAGCAAGAACTCCACCCCTCGTTGTGCATTCAGGAAGATGATGAAGAGCACGGCAAAATGCACGTGCATGCCACAACTCTGGACCAGGCTACGGCTCCTCAGGTCAGGTCGTCAGCATCAGCACCCCTACCACCACGGCTGCCGCCATCTGCCGATATGTCCATCTCCTCACCGATGCCGCCGGCAGCAGGGCCAGCACCGCCGCCGCACCGGCACTGGGACCATCGCCGCCGTGACCTCCACCTGCACTGGGACCATCGCCACCGCGACCTCCACCGGCACTGGGACCACCGCCATCGTCGCCGTGACCCTCCAGCGGCACCGCCGCCATCGCCGCCGTGACCTCCAGCGGCACCGCCGCCATCGCCGCCGCCAGCCGGGCCGCCATCGGTGCCTGCGGCGTGGCGGAGGCGGAAAAGGCGGAAGTGCACCACCGCCGTTGCCTCCTCTTCCGTCGGTTTCGTGGCCGTGGCCGCCTCGTGGCCGTTGGAGCCGGAGCCGTTTGCCACCATTGCCGTGGCCGCCGGAGCCGGAGCCGCCACCACCATCAGCGCCCCATTGGCCACTGCCCCATTTTTTCCATTTGCCCTTGTTCTTAGACTTGGGCTTCCACTCATCCTTCGTCCACGAATCGTGACCGTCGTAGGAGGAGCCATGCCATGGCGGAGGTAGTTCAAGGCCATGGTGGCCACATGTGCAACCCTTTTCAAGCCGATCTTACCTGGCTCGGAGACACCTGCGAAGGGCACATTGCCTGCAAAAGGAGTCTCAACCACGGAGGGAGCCTCGGCAAAAGCATGCGTTGAATTTTTGTTGGCAAAGGTGCACCCGGAATTAAAGGGGAGGACTCGAATGATACAGGGGCCGGAAGGCCAGGAACACGGGAGCCACAAGAGGCAACGTGGGGGCCCTGAAACAGGGAGTTGCTGCCCACACAAGTCCGGCAAGAACCACCTAGACCCAGACCAAAAGGGACTCGGAAAGCACCGAGGAAGCCAGAGGACCATTTGTCACGTTGCAAGCTGCTTTGGGCGGCGAACGAATCGGGGCTTCCGCTTCGGGGGCACCTCGTCCGGAACCTCCTGGTTCCAAGAGGCAGGCTTGGATGGGCCTTGGGCAAGCTCCTTCCTGCGAGCCTGCAAAGCATCGATCTCCTTGATAAAGGCGACGCCTGGAAATAGTGAGGCACGCGCTGTTGCCCGAGGTGGCCCTCCCGAGAAGAGCTGAGGAGTCCTTGAGGAGGAGGTTCCTCCAAAAGCGTGAGAAGGTAAGCAACGCTCCAGCTGCCCGAGTCCAGAGCACTTTGCTCCTGCGCCATCAGGGCAAGTGCCAGCATCTCCTGTGCTCCTTCGTGATCGTTTGCCAGCATGCAGTCCCCGATATGAGCCAGGACCCACATCATCATGCTGGCCTGCAAAGCCCCGGTAGCGCTCCACATAGCGGGTGAAGAGAGGGCCCGCATCCCTCATAGACTCCAGGGTCCAGGGAAGAGGGCTCGTGGGAGCCATCCGCCGGAAGGCCGCCTGCGACACCTGAAGAAGGAAGTCCCCTGATCGTGCCGCCAGCTCCGCTTGTAGTCTTTCTCGTTTCCGCGTACCAAGCGCGGTTCCCTGACTCAAGTCGACGCCACCTTCCGCCAGGTGGCCCACCAGCATGGTAAGGGCTTGGCTTTGCTGCAAAATGGCATCTGCCAACCGACCCTGAGGGGCAGGAGCCTCGAAAGGCAGCAGGAACGCCTAAACCGGCCGGGGCCCCAGGTTCTCGAAGACGAGGAGGCGGGCCCAGAGAGCTGCCCAAAGCTCTGAATGTGCCTGAGGCAGCGGTTCCTCCGAGGCACTGTAATCTCCCTCCTGTTTCCGAAGCCAGAGGCCTTTGCCGCGATCACCAAAGCACTGTGCTGAGGCACCACGGCCGGGAAAGGCTGACTCTCCACAGGATCCGTCACAGGATCTAACTTGCTCAGGTAAGAAAAAGCATTCTCCGAGGCCGCAAGGCGGGACAAGACCAGGCCCCCCAATTTAAAGGATCCTCCAAAAATTCCCTGACCAGCTCCATCACGAGAAAGGAGGGAAGGGCACGGAGGCCCCTGCGCAATAAATGCGGGCTTTTCCTTCTGTGGGAAAGCCGTGGCACACAGTACCAGTATGCTCAATAGCACCCACAGCAGCCTTAAAGGCACGGAAGCCCGGGCTTTGCAAGGACAGGGCTCCGAAGAACCACGTAGATCGAAGATCGGACGGCGATCTTCTCGGAGACCTCAGGGTAGTCCAAACGACCTGACAAGACCTCTCCGGCCCAAAATCCAGCTTTCCAAGCACGGAGGGCACGGGGCTCTCGTGCGGCAAGTGGCAGGCTACAAGCAAGGAAGAGGACGTCGTTGGGAAGAGGAGGAGGAGAGGCTGGGCGCACGGGTCCTAGGGGTAGGGCCTCGGATGAGGAACTTAAGGTGTTTGAAGGGGCAGAGGAACTAGCCACAGCCGGTTCGGAAGCAACCACCTCCCACTCACCTACCTCGTCTTCCAAAGAGAGGCGGGCAATGGCAGATGCAAGGGCCTGTGCTGCTGCTGCAAGGTCCCTTCGCAAGTCACTCATGCAAGTACGCTCTCAGGCGCAAGGAGCGGGGCCGAGGCAAATCAACCTCAGGCTCGACGGCCCGCTGGGCAGAAGTCGAAAGGAGGGTGGCCCGGAACACAAAGAGAGTGAAAAGAGCCCCTGCCAAAGACCCCGCAAAGAAAGCCAGCCCCAAGACCACAAGAGAACCGTTGCAATGAGAAGGACAAGCCAAGCCCCACCAGCCCGAAGCCGACCCTGAAAGAACAAAGTTCGCCACGGCTGAGGCCTGAGCCAACATGCTTGAGACAATGCCGCATCACATTCGCCACTAACTGTACAGTCTCCCTAAACGGGCCTCGGCATATCTGCCGGCGCGAGCACAGGCACACCAAGTCCCGAAACCCAAAACCACCCCCCAGGCCTCGACGTCGCCGTCGATGATGTCAGGGGGTGTGCGGGGCTGGGGGGGGGTAGGGTTTCGGCTTGGAGGGGTTTAGGGTTGGGTTCGGGGTGTAGGGTTTCAACCTACTTTAGGTTTTGGAATTAAGGCTGGGTTCAGACTTTAGGGGGGTGTTTAGGGTTGGGTTTAGGGTTTAGGGTCGGGCTTAGGGAAATCCGAGACCAGTCAACCGGCAACCCGAAGCCAGAGCCACCAATTATCCAACCCGCCGCAACTCAACCTCCCGGCGACCCGAGCAACCCCCTCCCCCCGCCCGCCCCCGAAGCTCTTGTTCAGAGCTTCGGCTGCTTGCTGTCTAGCGGCTGCTCCACGACCGCCGTCGCCGCTAAACCATCAACCATCCCTTATCCCACTCTTTGCCTGCATCCAGATTTATCGTCTTATCGTTTCGCGTATGTTTGCTATCTAGATTTACCGTCGTGCGTTTCGTGTATGCGTGCTATGTTTGTTTAGAAGTGAGGTGCCCTCAAAAAGTGTAAAGTGTGGCCACCCAGCCAGTAAGGTGATGAAACGTGGTCAATATGGAAGGACCAAGGCTGGGACGACCACTCCCACTGCCACTACCGCTCGTACTACCACTACGACTACATCCTTCTACGTAGCCATGTTCATCGAGTGTCTGCTAGAATCCTAGAAGCAAGAAAAACCGAAAGCTGCAGCATAGGAGTATGTCCAAGTATAGATGCGCGGAGTCGCCACGGGCCTCGAGGGTCTCCGAGTCGGAGTCCTTTGCCGACCTCCAGAGACTTTGCATGAGAGATACTGAAGTAGGCTGCCCCAAGGGGCGCCTCTCGTTGTCGCCCTCCGCCGGGCCTGTGACCAACCTTTGCACTTTGCAAGTCGCCAGGCAGAAAGAAGACCGCAAGAACTTGGCCGCAAGAACGGAGGGCGCAAGCGGAAGACTGAGGCCAAATTTTGAGGGGTCCCGGCATGATGATGCCGCCCAAGACGGTCAAAGAGCTCGAGGCCAGCCCCGTCCTGGGCGGCAGCTCTCTGCCAGACACTGCGAGGCTCCGAAGTGGCTGTGGGCGGGCTCGGCGCTCGGAGCCCGGCCAGGATTTCACTTCCTTCCACTCCTCAAGCCTCGGCACCGACTCTCGCACGAGGCTCGGATCTCGGAGACGTCTCTTGAGGCCACGACACCACCAGGCCCGTTGCTACCTCGTCTCTCCGAGTCTCTCCGCTCGGATGTCTCGTCTCTGTCTGAGAGCCGGGTGGCGCTCACGAAGATGTTCATGACGGTGGAGCAGGGGATGAAGAGGAGGACGTCACAGCGGTGGCACCCGATGATCGTCCCTGCCCGCATTCCAACCTCAGAGAGCCGTCGTCGTGGCCGAGGCAGAGCACCTACAGGCAGCGCCGCAGCGCTGCAGCGCCGTGGCGCCTGCGCCTTCCTCTTGGGCTTCGGGCCAGGAAGAGGAGGTTGGCGACGACGGAGATCCAGAAGAGCTCCGACTGCAGAGCCCGGGCCCTCAGCGGAGAAAGGGAACCTTGCCCTTGGTGCCCTTGCGTCCACTCTTGCGTTGTGCTTCTCTTTGCTGCCAGCTGGCGGGCCAAGCTTCAGGGAAGCCGCCCAGCCCTTTGCTGCCACGTCCATGGCGGCGCTGCTGGTGCTCGTCACGGTGCAGACCGCCAACACCTCACCGAAAGCGAGACGGACGCCGGTGGATGCCATGGTGGACATCCTCTGTTCCTTTCTCCAAGCTGCCTCGATGGTCTCCTGGCGCCAGAAGCGCCTCACTGCAGTGCCATGACATGGCCCCATGATACGTGGCTCAGCGGCGTAGCGGCTACGTCCGGGGCCGCGACCGTTTGAACGTCCTGGCGGTTGCCGAGTCCTCGTCCGAACTCCGAACCTGCCAGCAGCCATGGCAGCCATGGCAGCCATGGCATGAAAGAGTTTCACCGTTTCACCAGCCAAGACCTCCTCACTGGTACTCTCGGACCTCAGCAAAGCAGCGCGGCTCGGAGTTTCTGACAGTGGGCTCTGTGGCCTCTGCTCCTTCTTTCGTCCTGGGAGGCCTGAGCTTGCAAGTTCAAGGGGTCTCCATGGCACTACATGCGCCTGCATGCTCCTGAGGCTTTGGCGCCGGGTGAAGATCGGCCACCTGCCTGCTGCACTCACAAAGAGCTGCTGAGACGGGGAGGAGACCCCCGTGCGACTGCTACGGTCCTCACCCCCCCCTTGCACGCATCCTGAAGAATGATGTCTTCGAAGCAAGCAGCTCCTGGAAATCGCACGGGGAGCACTCGCATGCGTTGCATACCGCGATAGGACCGTCGTCCTGGCGCGGAGACGCTCTCGGAGCATGTATAGGATCTGGACCAGGAGAGAAACAGAGCATACAAGGATTGGCCATAGATCTCTGTCAGACACCGCAGCTGACCCACTGACCCAAATGTCTATCGCTAGCCGCTAGCGGCGCTACTGGTAGCGCCACTTGAACGTTCGTCCGTCAAACAGCTGAGCCATCCATCGAGACATTTTCCGACCTCCACTGGACCTCCCGTTCCCGGAATCTCTGGTATCTTTCAATGCTGGTAGTGCACGCCGTGCGCCCGGTCAGACCCCTTTCCTCTTTTCCCGTCATTCGGTCAGAATGAGGTCATGGCCTTGTCACCTGCCCCCTGCTTGCAAAGACAATTGACTCTGAAGGCCTGCACAGCCTGGGAACATGCGCGCGCAAGCGAGTGCGCAGAAACGCGCGCCTGCGTTCGCCTTCCGCACACCGCGCCCGTGAAAACCGAGACAAGCATAGAGACCCGAAGACACACCCCCTTGAAGCCAACATGGCATCATGGACATAAAATTCGGTGTCCAAGCCACAGTGGACAAATCTGAGCAACTCAAGGTCATGTCACCGTTATATAGACAATCCGAGCTGCGCATGACATTATCGTGGTCGCGGTTCTGCCAAAGAGGCTGAACTTATGAAGCAGCTGGCTTGGAAAAGTCCCATCTTGGGTCATGTCGCCCGGGGTTAACAGGTGTAATCAACCGCTTCTCGCCAAAAGAAGAACCGGCAAAAGAAATGGCTAGTGGTGTGATCAACAGCCACAGCCGAACAAGCGGGGGCGGGTTCAAGAACTGCAATTCACCGCTTTGTGATCAATCACCATCACCTGATGAGGAGGCGGGTTAACAAAACGTGATAAACCACACAAGGCCTGATGATCGGATCGGGTTGAATGCCATCGCGAAATTTGGAATTGGCCACAGTGGGGCCTCGAGCAGGGCCAGTGACCGGTATCTTTCTGTGTTGCCCGATTCCGAAACAACCCTTCCTTTCTTCAGGAATGGAAGCAACCGACACAGAAACTGACTGCGGCCAACGGAAACAGGCCAACCACTGTTGCAGTTGCGACACCAGAGTGCAGTTTGTTGCGTCAGCATTTGGCTGCTACAAATTACTTGACGTTGAGCTTGTCCCACAATCAAAGTTTGATTTCTGGTGATTTAGAGTCAGCCAAGTTGATAGCATATCGTTGAAGCGTGGAGAAGTACTGACTCATTGGGCTCATGGTGCCGATCATGTTCGATGGCCCAGTGTAAGCAAATGCAGCACATGAATCTGGATTCTGTTGTGGCTACTGACTGTGAAGATGGAATTACACATATGCTGGCGAGCTTCCAGCACATCTCGCTCGGTAGGTGTGACCGCTGCACTACAGTGCTTGCTGGAGGAACGTAATCGAGCCAAAGAGATGCTGACCCGTTTGGTGTAGTACGCTAAACTGGTGATGGCACAATGGCCTCAGCTTTTGAAGTCTTACATGCCCTGACGCGCAACGACTTAAGCAGTCCTTGGGAAAGGATTGGGTCCGGGTCACCAGATCATCACCCTCAAGAGCTGATATTCAGTCCATGGCCTTTGAGGGATCGTGCCGCGCGTGGCATGATGCTCAGTTATTTCGACGAGCCGGTTGTTGGCAAGGCAACGATCTCGTCGAGGACTCTTCCCTTCTCGATTCCTCAAGGTCGATTGCTATTTCAGTTCAGGCCAAAACGCTTGTGTTCAGGATTGGACGCGTCACAAGGGTAATGGTCCGATCACTGTCAACATGGATGCAGGTCTGTCAACAGCAGACTGTACTTTAGAGACGCTTTTTTGATCGTTCAAAACATTCAGTGGTTCTGTGCCCCACCCACTTGATTGGCATTATTCGTTTCGGCTTCCGCTCCGGCATCTTCAGCGCGGCGGGCGCAATATGGAAACAAACACACGGCACAGGGATAGGCAATCATGTCAGACCCATGATCCGCAACGTAGCTGTTGCCCACATCGTGTGACCAGGTCACAAGTGTACAACACCTGGCACCATCAACCTGTGTATCCGACCCTCCGCTCCGCGACAGGTGCATGGCAGGTTTCCGGCAGTTTCATGTCACTCACACGATTCCCATCGACCTACGTTTCAAACTGACATGCATGCATGAAGGGTTCTATGGCTGGCCTGCCGTCTCTAAAGTGTTTGGGCTTTGTCGTTAAGGAACAATCACCTGTCGCGTCCCATCCGATCTTCATAAAGTACGTCACCCGCAGTCTACAGGCAGCTTACGCTTGAAACTGTGGCGGATGAAATCTCGTGCTTGCATTGATTACTCGCTGCGCATGGCCACATCAACCTGGGGATCTACCGTTGTCTGACCTCGTTCGACTGTATGTGCCGAAAGGATTTTCCAACGAAGACTGTGCCAGGGTCCTGAAAAGAAGGATTGCAACACTCGTGATGCTGGCAGTGGCTATAGTGTGAGTTTGTTCGTGTGTGTGTGTGTGTGTGCGTGCATGTGTACGCAACCCTGTCAAGGGTCATCAGAAGTGCAGAGACGTAGATTTACAGTTGTGGTTGAGAGCGCATGTTGCACTGGGCGTGGTGACACTCTACTGATGATGGCCTATCACCACAGCCTGGGGCTGAAAAGTCGTTGGGCACTGCAGATGCAAGTGCACATGGACCTGTCAATAGGGCCTCAATTTCACCACGCCCTCACTCCATACCCTAGCACAACATGCGCTCTCAACCACAACTTTCAATCAGGTCTCTGCGCTTCTGATGACCCTTGAAAACAGGGTGGCACGGCACCGCACCGCAGCGCACGGCACCCGCACCCGCACCGGGCCCGCACCCGCCAACGCACCCGCACCCGCCCCGCAGCCGCAGCTGCACACGCAACATGCGCACACGTGCACACAAAGACACGCAGCACACACAGAGACACACGCGCGCAAGTCCAACAGATCCGATCGGGGGTCCAGCCGAGAGCAGCAGAGCCAGAAGTACGGCTCCACCGACCACCTCAATCACAGCTTCTTTCAGAAACTCTGAGATCCGAAACTCAAGGTCTGCAATCGACTCCGAAGTGCGTGCAATGGCCGCCGGGCGCTGAAGAAGTTGAACAAAAAGACTTGCCGTGACCTTTGCTGGCGCATTATAAAAGAGGTCATCGGAGGACCTATGACACACAGGCCTCTGGTCCAGGATCACCCTGAAAAAGCGTGAAGCAAACGACGCCTCGACAGTGACAACTCCACAAGCGTTTACCGAAGCTGCAGCGCACGCTGTGTGGCCTGACAGAGTCACAAGGGTGCCTAAGGCATCACTGGAAGTCAGCGGCCTGACAAAGATGCGTGGCATGGTTGTCTAAGATGGCATTCGAAGCGAGGTGACGTCGTGACGCTGGCCTGATCTGGAAGACCTCCAGACGCGTTGACACACCAAGCGCACGAAAGCCAGCGAACACAGGCGACGGCGAAGTCAAGTCACGCGGCGGGTCCCTTTTGGTCGCCTGGCTGAAGAGTGCGTTCGCAGGCAGGGTAGCCCCTGCTCGTACAACCACGACGAGGGCCACCTCATGCTGGAGGCTGCTGGAGGGCCGGAGGCCGGGAGAATAGGGTTTAGGACCTTCAGGAAGGTGACACTTTCGGGTTAGGGCCGGTAAGGGTTTGCTGGCAAATGACCGGGCCATAGTTGAGGCCCACCAGGGAGAGGATGCCGAAGATGGTGGAACCTGCCGACGCTGCTCGTTGCTGCAGGCTGCGCCGACTGTCAAACGGTGCCTATGGCACCCAGGACGCAGCGAATTCGGCTGCGGTCTGTGTGCTTGCCCCCGTTCAGCTGCCTGCGGGGGCGAAGCGAAGCGAAGCGGCGGCTCTGTTGCTCTGCCCCTCGACAGGACGGCCTCTGCTTATCAGCGCTGGAGAGCAGGCAGCTGAAGAAACCAACGCCGATCCCCGCCAGGGCCGAGCTTGCGATGCCTGCACCGTCACTCTAGGACCCAGAAAACGATGAAGCGTGGCAGCGCTTTTGTCCAACCGAGAAGCAGATAATGAGGTCTTTGTAGGACAGGAAGAGCACGACGGAGGATCGCAAAGCTTCTGGAACTTCGCCCATGGCATTGCTCCATTGGCGCAGCGAAACAAGACCGTGGAAATGACATGAGTCATAAGTGTCATAGCCCGTGCGAGCCCCTTCAAATCAATCCCGTGCTAGTTCGTGAGTTCTTGCAGATTTGTTTTTTTGCACATTCCTTCTGTTGGTGTAAGGTCTAATCCCTACTTTTGGCAGGTGGTGCACAAATCGAGAAGTGTACCGCATCTCGTCTGGCAGGCGCATGAACCCTGCTAAAGATGACACGCACAAATCCGAACGGATTTGGCTCAAGCACGAGCCCTATGAAGGGCGTAGCGAAGTGGGTGCGAAACGCACCTTGGGGCTCAGGGGTTCGGGTTTGCTTGTTTGACGGTCCTTGTAGTGCCTTGCTATCTTGCATGCTACTCGATGTACCATGGAGAAGTATGATCCCTTAGATGACATACCTATGCAGTTCAGGAGGCATCCTGCAAGTCCTACTCCTAGTCTCTATTGTTACGAACAACCCCTCCCCTGAAGCAAACACAAGAAATCAACAGGTTATGAGTCCAAGCCCCCAAGCAGCACTTCGTATAGCGACGCAGGCACTTCAAATGCACGATGACAGTGATGCTGGAACAATGACTTTGAGATCGCTAACATCCTTCACTTTACAGCCAGAGCATTTGCAGGAGCTTCAGGAGAATATTCTCGTGGATCCGGGTGCTTTGCACGACGTTCGCAGCGCCATCGTCGAGCTATCTGCTCGGATCCAGCTTCGTACTAGTGTACTTGGATCTATGATACAAGGCGTGGGTGTTACAACACAGAGGAGATTGCTTCGATGAGTAAGACCATGTTAGTCGTTCAACAGGAACACAAAACAAGGCTGGATACGCAGCGACAAGTGTTGTATTCTCCAACTACAGGCGGTAACGCTGAGGAGCTGACACTTGCGGTTCAGCATTTGGTCAACAAGGTTGACAACGAGCTGGAAATCTTGAGAAGTGAAGCTGCAACTGCTAGCGACACATATCGAGAAACCAGAGCTAACATCATGAGCCATGATAACACCGTGAGCGTGGTCAGTGAGAGATTGGAAAATCGGGAATCGACCAGCGGGGATGCAACGTCCTCTGGTCCCCAGTTTTTTGATATGACGCCTGGTAAGTCCCCTAGCTTTGGAGGTGGTAGCCCTTTAACGGCATGGTGGCATGAGGGCGAGAATGATGCAGAAGATCACTGGTCAGGGTGGGGCGCGAAGCGCGCTGAGGATGATCATCCTTGGGGCTTGTCGGTTCCACCTCCTAGTTTGCCTTCAGAGTTTACGAACAGAACAGGGGCACAACAGCAGACAAAACAGCAGCACCGCCAGGCGAGGAATCGCCGCAAACTGCTAAGGGAAAGTTTGCTGTGCCCTATGCCAGTTTTAAGTGGAAAACATTGCAGGACATTCCGAGCTTCAATCCGAAGGATGGTGCTGGCTCTCCATGGGAGTTGGCTTTACGATTGGATGTCTGGAAACGCCAGTTTTTGACTTTAGCCGCTACGGCACAGCCCCTCTTTCCAGATTATGTTGCAGAGTGTTTCAAGCGAGCACATGCGAGACATGATCGGCAAGCAGCGGGCAGCGGGTGAATCGTTGACAGCATTGGTCCCGGTAACTGGTTTTCCAGCAGAATACGAATCTAGATGGGTCATGGTTCTGTTGCGAACGCTTCCTGACTCGGTGAAAACACCCGCGCTGGAGTGGAAGCAGATGAAGGGCATCGGGACATCGCGACTCCGTTTGCTAGAAGAGCTCTACTTGTGTGTTCGACCGGGGGGCCTCGAGGAGCAGCAGGCTTTGGTCAGGTTTCTTCGCAATGTCAGTCCTGCTGCCTCGGCACGTGATGCGATTGACATGGGTGGAGGCTAGCTAAGAGCAGGGTGGCTTCATTGTCATTGCCCGAGATTCCCGCGTATGAGCAGATCAGGGGAACACAAGCCATGATAAAAACTTTGGAGAAAAGGTATGACAGCCTGAGAACTCGCATGTCACTTGTTCGAATCCTTCCGGATGTCCAGCTTGGTAGGCCCCAGGGTGTGATTACACTTCTTGATACGGTTGAGGCTGAGTTGCGACAGTTGGCCGCCGATGAGATGTCAAGGGACTTGGCGAAGGAGGATGATTCATCTATAGCCGCGAAGGGCAAGGGCAAGGACAAAGGAGGTAAAGGCAAGGATAAGGAATTCAACTGAAAGGGCAAGGACAAGGATGGAGGAAAGAGCAGCGCTAAGCAAGGACAGGGAGGTTCTAGTTCCCAAGACTCAGGCGCCGCTGACCAGCGGGAGAGCAAACCTTGCATGTGCTTTTGGACGAAAGGGCTGCTATCGTAAGAACTGCCCCTTTTCCCATGACGAAAAACACAAGCCTAAGCCGCCTCAGCCCAAGGCCGCAGCAGCACGTACTGCCACAGCATTGGTTGGAGCAAATGATGAGGAAAGACACAAGGGTATAAACCCAAGGCTAAACCAAAGGCCCAGGCCAAGGCGTCAGCAGTGACTTCTATGATTATGATGGCACAAAGCAATCCAGCAAGAGACTTCAATCCTTCTTCTAGTGATGAGGATAGCTCAGACTTGGAGGCAGTGTCAAATGCCGGGACGGTTGCTTCTACTGATAGCACTCGGAGTGTTTTGTCAAGTGAGCATGATCTTGTTGGTGCGCTTGCGAATGCTATGCGGGATGCAAGATTGCACCGAGAGCAGCGTGATCAGCTTTGGCGTTTGCACTTGAATCCTAGGGAGTTCAACGCACGGGCTCAGCATTGGGAGCGCGGCGAAATCATCGAGAGGTCTAGGCCTTTTGCGCAAGTCACGGAGGGCAGGGATGTTGCAGGAGTTGCGTGGGCTTTGGAGCGAGCGGAACCAACGCCGATTCGAGATCTGCTCATGGAGGAAGCGCAGAGTAGCGCAGTTGCCTATGATGCTATGCTGATGTGTGATGATGATGTTGCCAGAAAGGGTTTTGTGCCCTGGCTCATTGATGAAGATGATCATAATGAGCTTTTCTTGGCTATCGGCTATCGTTGAGGCCCCCCAACGTGTCAGGACCGCAGGGCCTAGCGTAGCATCAGCTTCATCTGCTGGAGCTCCTCAGTCTCAGCATACAGCCCAAAGCCATCATGACACATTGGTTGAAGCAGCTGCTGCCGACATCTCGCATGTATTGCGCACGCCCTTGCAGCAACTGCTAAGCCTTGTGGACTTCCCTGAGGCTTGGATCATCTTTGACACATATGGGGTAGAGATCCCGCATGATTTGATGTACCACAGCCCCAGAGCCAGCCAGACGACGGCTTCTCCATCTGCGAGCAAGAATCCTAGAGTTCGAAGTTCGAAGATAGGTCACAAGCGCGAAAGGTATGTGCTGTTGGTCATCTGGGTGACGGGTCTAATGTTCTTTTGGATACTGGTGCGAACGACGTCCTCCGAAAGGCTGCTGAGGCTCCACCTAGATCCATGCCACTGGAGTTGTTAGCCGACAGTCAGACCATTGAGGCCTCGAGAACCAGGGATGGTGAAGTGATCATCCCAGGCACGGGCCCCGAGGTCATTGCGGGAGTGTGTAGGCTGACAGCTGTTGGATGTAAATTCGTGCGGAGTGATGAAGGTGCATCCTGGAGAACCCTAAGTTGTATGTTGTACGTCTTAGGTTGTTTGCTAACGGTCAAGTTGTTAGTGTCAACGAGAAAACGTCTCGAGTTGTTTCCTTTGAACTTGTTATGCATCTTGAGCGTTTCACTAGCTTGCGCTGTGCATCTTGGTCGTCTCAGTAGCTTCCTCGGTTGGGTGTCGTTCGGTCGCTTGTGCGATCTGAGCTTGCAAGGGTTGAAGCCGGCCGGTTAGGTAGGTCAGAGTGCGCGAGTGTACAGGTGAGTAACCGCCTGGTTTCAGTCGGTCGGTCGGTTGCGCTGGCTTGCTTTGCTTGTTCGCTTGGTCGGTCGGTCGTTGTGCTTGGTTGGTTGTGCTTGCAGGCTTAAGTTGCTGGTCGATTGGGCGCCTTGGGTTGTGCTTGAAGGCTTGCTGTGCTTGTTCGCTTGGTCGATTGGGCGCCTTGTTGCTTTGTGATGGCCTGGCTTGATTGATCTTCGAAGCCGTAGGTCTGAGTGTGCCAGGGTTGTTCGAAGCCGTATAGGCAAGTGTTTGCAGAAGCACCCGAAGCCAAAAGCACCGGAAGCCCAAAGCACCGAGAGCCATGCAAAGCAGTTCGAAGCCGTATAGGCAAGTGGTTGCAGAAGCACCCGAAGCCGAAAGCACCGGAAGCCCAAAGCACCGAGAGCCATGCAAAGCAGTTCGAAGCAGTAAAGGCAAGTGTTTGCAGAAGCACCCGAAGCCAAAAGCACGGAGAGCCATGCAAAGCAGTGCTGTGCAGTCGTCGAGTGTGCAAGTGTGAGTGCGCAGGGGTTAGATCGAGCCGTAGGTCTGAGTGCGCAAAGTTGTTTTGATTGGTCTGCACTGCATGTTGCGAACGTGCATAGCGCAGCCCCTTTTCACTCCCCCCAAAGGCTCTTCGATTGATAATTATCGATCGAACGCTCGAAAATATTGTATTTTCTATCTACGCTCGAAAAACCTTTTTAAGCTATGCAAATCAGTCGAACAACTGGGTGGTTCGCTCGATTCCTCGATTGAGTTTACATGAAACTTCGCTCGATTCCTCGATTGAATTTACAACTCCACCGCTCGATTCTTCGCTCGATTCCTCGATCGAATTTCAAGTGACCAAAGTGTATATTGTTTTCCCCATATATCGTTCATACTTTTCTACTCTGTATATATATATACATATACATGTATATAGATGTGTATATATGTATATATATATACACATATATTTATAGATGCATATATATATACACACACACATATATATATACATACATATATATATATATGTATATATATACATATACATATATATATATATATATGGTGTAATATAATATATAATGTCTGGACAGACATTATTTGTCATGTTGTTTTATAATAGTAATCTT